AGTCACAAGGCGACAAATCAGGCGAACGTGGCGGTCAGCCAAGATCACCGCGTAAAGGCACTACTTTGTTTAGGAACATTTCTTGAGTGAACGACGCGTTGTGTGCGATGTAGCACCATCCTGCTGGAACCAAAGATGTTCTCTTTGATCGTTGTTCAACTCGTTCACTTTTGGAACACAGGAAATTGTTAAGCATATCAAAATATCGATCTCCGTTGACTGTTACCGTTATTCCATCTTCTTCGAAATAGTAAGGACCCCACAGGCCGAACTCCGAGATTGCACACCAGACGGTGACTTTTGGACTGTGAAGAGGTCGCTCATGAAGTTCCTGTGGACTATTTGCTGACCAATAACGGAAATTTTGCTTATTTACGGTACCCGAGAGGTGAAAATGAGCTTCACCGCTAGATATGAATACAGGACCTCTGGGAATGTTTTGAAGAATATCCCAGCATAAATTTGTACGGGTTTCAAAATCTCTTGCGCTTAATTCCGGCACTACCATCATTTTGTACGGATGCATTTGGAGTGAGTTGTGTAAAATTCTTCGAACACTTCGATCGGGAATTCCCAAAGCAGCTGCATGCTTACGAGCTGAACGCCTTGGAGACTGTTGTACGGAAACTCTCATAGAATTCACATTTTTCAGAGTTCTTACTGTCCTTGGTCGGCTAAGCGCAGAACCTGTTTCTCTGAAGTGTAAAACTCACCGACGAATTGTTCTTCCATCCAGAGCCGCACATCAAACTGATTACGAAAGGCGCGCTGCGCTATTACAGATTCCCCATTTCTAATAAACTCCACGACAACGACAGCACGATGTACTCCGCTCCAAGCCATGACGATAACTGAAAATTGCATACTTTTGTCTGCCTACGCGAGTGCGTACACAGTGTTGCCGGTTTTACAAACCGAACAACCACTATTTGAAATCCTGCCTACCTTTTTGCCGCACCCTGTACTATACTATGAGTAGTTAAAGCACGGACAGGAGATAACTGTTAGCCGTTTGTAGTTTAAAGATCTATTGCAAAGACGAAACCGGAGCATATAAGCGAATTACACCCTTAATAAATATGGTCTAATAAGAATTATGGATAAGAACCGAGTCAGACGAAATAAAATAGATTACGGCGGCCATAAAACGAGCAAACGTCACCTAGGCAACCGCATTAGAATATCTAAAATTGCGAATCTCGCGAAAAAGGATATAATTCAGCAATTCAAATTTGAATATTTCAAATGTGAAACGTAATTTAGTCCAATAATTCTCCGACGTCGTAAAAATGTCGTCGGATATTTTAATGCGGCTGAATTATGGCGAAAGAAATTAAAGTTTCGGGCGGTGGTGGAGCAAAAGCGGGCGGCGACAATTTCATATTCCGTACCGGCGCGGCTGCTCGCGTTCTTCTTTATTGCTGTTATTCCTTGTTATTACGTCTTTTAATATCAAATCTGAATTATGCTTAGGCCTTTTGTGCCGTGCCTGAAAATTCATTCGAGCGCCCGTCTTCGCCTTCCAGGCGACCGCGGCGTCGAGACGCCTTTGCAAACCCAATTACAAACGTCACAATTCCCCGAAGGAAATTGATTAAATAAATTTAACCATTTGTCGTTTGTTTTTGCAATCTGAGTATTCACATTTTTGAAATTTATACTGCACGAGAGCAATAGATAAACCATGTAATAATTTGGTAAAAGCAAATTTTTATCATATCAGGAAAAAATTCTTTGTTGTACCGATTCTCCTTTTCTGTTTCAGTAAAAACGATTGTGCTGTCTCTATCTATCCCTGGAAAGTGTTTAGATATATGTGAAAAAAAGTCAGTTCGGTTTGTAGTACTAGGGTTTTAATTATTTTATTATATTTGAACGTTATCTTACGGAAAGAATACAGAAAACAAAAATTAATAATACTTATAAAATAATATAAAATAAAAATAAAAATATTATTTTTAATGTAAATTTGTAGTTGTTTGCAAAATAAGCTTATTATTACTATTATTATTATTATTATTTTTATTATTATATTATAATGATAATGACCAATTGCAAAATAAAATTACAAACGGCGACGTTGAAGCTTAGCTTCCTTCCTATCCTAATCTAACTCAATCTAATCTTGTGGTAACCTTATACGTTACATAAAAAAGTATGCTTATAAAAAAAGAATTCTTTCAAGATAAAATATAAAAATATACTAATTTTTGAAAGAAACTTTCACAGTCTACTGTAATACTTTTTACAAAACTTCTGGATTCCTCCTGTGTCGGTTTTTGCTGAGTCGAACTTGGTGAGGTTTCACCAATTATCCTGTTGATTTCTTCAGCCAGTTTCAGCCAAGTTGTGAAGAAGTCATCAGGATGATTGGCGAAACCTCAGCAAGTTCGACTCAGCAAAAACCGACACAATTAATTAAATTTAAAGCCATTGAGCTACTGGTAATTATTATAACAGCTGGAGACATGGTATGCTCTGTCATATTATGCCGTTCTGTGCGAGTGTGGTGACATTTTATGTTTTCCGATGTATAGTGTGACCTGTGAAAAATTTTTCTTTCTCTCATAGGACCACCTAATTTATTGGTGGTATCTAAAATTTGCTCTGGCTTAAAGGGCACAAATATTTTTTCCAAGTATCAGTATAGATGTGTGAAGAGTACGGAAAAGTGGTTCAACGATAGTTAAGACAGACCCCACCCTCAAATACAAGATATTTTAAAATAATTAAAAGTAGTCCTGGTGGTTCAGTTTGTCGAACGCTTTAGAGTAGTCCAAAAGGACAGCTCATGGCGATGTGCGGCTCCTAACTTGTCGTTTGTCACTTTAAGGAGAGCAGTGGCACAACTGTAATCATTGCAAAATCCTGACTTTGCGATTGTAACAAGGTATAAGTTTCAACGTGTCTAAGTATTTATCCGATATTGTTTCCAGAATCTTTCTCATAGTTAGCAAGCTAATTAGCAGAAGGTTTTTCAATTTGTTTGGATTTCAGCTACGCCACTTCCATAGCCATTAAAACATCTAAAAACTTCTATAATTTTGAATGATAATATATGCAAAATGACTTGGATAGTTGTTAAATTAATATCTGCTTCTGTGTAACAAATGACAAAAAAGATGACATTTTAAACCGGGTGACGTATCTCACATACTTATTACTAATTTCAAAAAAAATGACATGAGTGTTTCAGAAAATCAAAAAACAAACAATTTAAAAAATTCCATTAAAATTTTCAAGTTCAAAAATTTAGTTTTAAATACCCATTATATTTTTGTATAATCCGATTCCTTTCAAGACATATTTATATTCGACTGTGATTATTGCGAACAAAATGATCTAATAAAACACGTTTCCTTCTGTGTCCTTCAATCACCTGCAATTATAACATTAACAATCACCCTTATATTATCAAAAGCATTACTGGCAGTTTAATAATGTAACTAAATAATTATTTCATATAGGGGATTTCCTAAAGTCTTGCTACTTCGACGAAATTATAACTAATTTTTGTTTGATTTTTTTAAATGGAACACCGTGTATCTAACTGGCTCTATTTCTTTTTTACTACTTCTCTTAAGATTTTCTTTTTCCTAGCTACTCAAGCACGATAAATAAAAGTGGCAAATTCGTGTCGTTTTTTTCCAAAAATAAACCCATAAGGAACTACATTCGTTAATTCCAAACGATGCACCCAATAAACTTAAAATGCTTACTTCAAAAAAAATAGAATAAAAACAGTTATAGCAAAATCCTATTAATACTATCTCAAATGCATAGTTTAATACTTCTTTCTCTCAAAGTTATTGGATTTATTCGTTAGCTGCTGACAACCAATAAATCGAAAAAATGCCCAACAAAAATGTATTTTTCTACTGTATTTCGACAAGTTGGTAAGACTTTGCAAAACTCCCTTTATGAAATTCTTATTTATGCGCTTACTTCGCTTGACTTTAATTTTGTTTAACGCTAGGGAGTTAAAATCAGCAGACCGTTTTAGTTAAATTGTTTAATTAGTCGCGCTCTGCATTACGGCCGCGAATAGCCACAAGAGGACTTCGCCACTTGGCCAGTGCACGATGCAGTTAGTCCAAAAATTGAGACAGGGCCTAAAGCGACACTTTAATGCTAATTCTTCGTTCCATTAGTTGACTTTCCTGTAACGCGCCCCGAGAAATACAGTCACCGGGGAAAATCACCTGTGGAGCCTTTGCCGAAGGAACCACCATTCCATCGTCGTGAAGCAGTGAGAAAAAGAGGTAAGTGAAATCCTTCTGTGCTTTTAAAGATTCATAAAAACATATCAACAATATTTTTTAATAATATAATCAAACTCAATGCACAGAACACTATTTATGTCAACCAAAGTTTTCTAAGACACACTTCAGGCACTAACAGACCGACTGTTCAATAAACGAGTGCGTGAGTTTATGAAAGTGTTGTATACTATACTTTTTCTACGGCCGTGACACGTGACGAAATTTAATATATAATTGAGTTTACAATCGAACTCCTAACAACTAAGTTTCTTTTCTCGACCAACGTTTAAATAAACGATTTTTAAGAATTAAGTATATATTCAATGCAAAACTGCAATATCCCGCCTGTCTCTAAGTAATAACAGGGCGGAAAAGGCAGCTCTATAGTCAGGCATATGTGGAAAATGATAAATATTGAAAATGAATTGACCAGGATAGGATTCGATAAAATCATAGGCGATGTGATTTCATAAATGTCTCTCAACTAACAAACCAATTATTTTTTTAAAGTTAGTCAATAAGTTATTGAATTATTGTAAGAAACAATAATGCAAAAATTCTACAAAACCACATTTTTTTCTAATTTATGTGACAAAATCATCGGTACTTAATATTTGTACGGATAAGAATGGTACAGCGTTACTTTATATTATTCCATGAACTAAATACAACCCTGTATGATGTAAAAGCTATTATAAAATGGTTGACTCGCGCAAACACTTAAATCGAATACAGCAGTATAGCCTTACAATCCGGCGTAACTATCTGCAGTGTAAACGTGAAGTGGTTTGAAATTCGAAGTTGTTTATTTTTCAGCCGTATGTTTGTATTTGACAGTTAAGAAGACATTTTCCTCAAAATGGCAGATGCCGGGGAAATTATGAAAATGTCCAAATACGGTATGATCGCATCTGGCCTTTGGCGTTTACCTCTGAACCAACCTACTGTCGTAAAAAAAATGTACGTGTTGTATTCGGTATACGTCCACGTAGTTTTCACCCTGTTTCTTTTATTGATTATGATACAGTTTATAATTCTTTGCACAAAAAATGATCTTTCGAAGGAGCTAAGCGATCAACGATTCACGGTTTTCTCTTATTTCATTTCAACGCTAACTACTCAGGTCAAACTGCTGATTTTCCAAAGCAACAATGTCTGGCTTATCATCTCCTATATAATGGACGAAGAAAAGAAATTACTAGCCCAGGTCAACCTAGACATTTTAAGTTATCACCGTCGACAAGTTAGTTTCGAAAGATGGATTAATACTGTTATATTTAGTTTATCAGCCTTTCTCGGATTGGCCACCGTCGTAGCAAATGGTATCCAGAGACACCAGATCGAGAAGCACAACCGATTTTACAATGATTCGCTACCCAAACCGACGCTATTTCCTCTATACTATTGCAACATTGACACCGAAAAACACAATACAATGTTGGCTATTTCAAATACGATGTGGGTTATCATTATCATAGTAATTTCAACACCCACACAGGGTTTTTACCTAGCTTGCATAACGTTTGCATCATCTATGCTAAAAGCACTACAGATACGACTTTCAAAGACGGACGAAGAGAAAAACTTAGATGAGACACTTGAAATTTTGATACGTGAACATCAAAGAATTATTGCGTGAGTAGCTTTGGTAAAAACCAGCTTTTACTTTTGCTTTTATTGCCAGGAGTTTCAGATTTGTTAAAAACTTAAACGAAACGGTCAAATACTTAATGATGATGGACTATCTTCTTAACGCCGTGAATATCGCCGGGGTGGTGCTAATTCTTCTAGAGGCGAGTTAAAAAGCTAAACGCATACATGAAAAGGAAAGTTAAATTTAAATTTCATTTTTTTTTAAGGCCGCCGATGGAATCGAAGTTGCTTCTGCTCTTTTTTACGCCGGTCGGCTGGTCGTTATCGTTTTTGCACTAGGTTGGACCTCCAACGAAATTCGTATACAGGTACAATCTTATTAAGATTTTTTGACGCCATAGTAGCGCATAATATTTGATAAAGAATTTAGCACATATTTGAAAAATGCGTTTCTCTACCCCCTACTCTAAAATACTCAACTATGTACTGATGAGGCATGCGCGAGGTGTGACTTTGAAACAGCACTTTTATTAAACACTGGCACCAGATTATTATAGAATTTTCGGTGCTTGAGTCACAGATTGGGATCGATCGGATGCTTTTGGTTGATATTTAATACTGATGATCTATTGTTATTGCATTAACTGTATTTCAATCGCCTAACTGCGAGTATGCCTTTTGTAATAGTAAATGTTCATCTTCATGGTAGTTTACGTCTGTAGTTGATTGTTAAATTAAAATTTTTAATTTAGAATTAAAATTCAAATTAAACAAATAGGGAACTTCCAGAGTCAAGCTTTAGCCGACGCCATTTATGAAACTCCGTGGTGGGAACAGCAAAATAAAATACAAAAAGTATTGCATATAATGATCATGCGAGGGCAGTGCCCATTAGCGATAACTATCGGACCATTTGACGATATGACGATACAATCATCTCTGACCGTAAGTAACCCCCGTTTGTTTCTATATTCTCACGTTACAATATAAACAACCATTTTTATGCTTCTTAAACATTTTCATTGTTTCTGGTAGTTTCTAGTAGTCCCTAGTTATTTTTAGAAAATTCGAATGCAAGCATTTTGTGTAAACGAGAAATGATATGGTGGCTAAAATTTAAGCTTTTATAATTGTTGCTTTATCTTGTCTGCTTTTTTCTGTGGTGCACAAAAAAATATTAATAATAACATATTTTCTGATGCCACTTTTCGGATAAATTGTTTTAACGTGTTGTGTTGCGACGTTTCATAAATCAAATAGTTAATTTCGCTTGTATTAAAATATAGTAAAGTTTCAAGTTAATATTTAAATGTAATGTATTTGATGCAATTAATTTTTTTATAAATGTAGGTAAGAGATTATATGCTGTGGCAGCACAATAGAAAAGGCTCTTTTTAAACATTGCAGAGCAACCAGTGCGTAAATAATTAGTTATTTTGTTATTTTTCAAAGAAATAAATTTCGAATAAGTTTAATGCCGAGTGACGTATTTAATTTTAGTCAATTAAAAATGAATTACATATATTTATTTATATACGTAAATATAATAAATATAAATTGCATGATCGACTAGGGCGTTGCTTTCAAATCAGGATCGATATTCGATAAGAAAGTTTATAGAAAAACAGTTCAGAACAATTTCTTGGAAGGGTCAATTACTTACTTATCAATTCAATGACGAATTTTAGTGACGGATGGCATTCTAGAATCGATGCAGAAAAGTGTAAAGTTTTTGTAAACTTGTAGAAGAATAGTTACTCCAAACCTCGATCATTCCTGTTAATTGTAAAAAGTGGCGTCCACTTCAATGATTGGCACATAACAGTTACACAAACTCAAAGTATCATCTATTGTGAAGGTTCTCATTTTTTAGATAATGAAGGCAGCTTATTCGTACGGCACTATTATGTCGCAGAACTACCGATAATGCACTCAATCCCCAAACTTTATGTTATACATATATATTGTTGTAAATAAACTCAATTTAATTATGTAGTTCTATTCCTTCTACTTAACCTATTGATGCGACAACATTTACTAGCTAACAAACTGTAATATGGCGGCGTATTACATTGAAACCTATATTTTTGTGTTTACTTTAAAGAAAATAACCATATGTAATCTAAATAAAAAAATATGCGGAAAATGTGTTGTTATGATAGTAATAATTCCGTAATATTTTTACTGTTCTATCCACTTTCGTTTTCAGAAATAAAAACATTATTTTTCCGCGATATTTTAGCGCGATATCTCCCTAATGATTATGTTGTGAGCCAATGGTTATATGATAAACTACCCCATATTTCGCTAGAAAAATAAGGTTAATTTATCAAACTGAATAACGAGTTTCTAGACTTTAATTAACCAAAAATACATCAACATATTTGTACATGAGCTTATAGAGAATTCGAATAGCAGGTTCTGGAGAATAACGTACGTAATCAATCAAAAATCAAAAACAAAATAAAAATCAGTATAAGTGAGATTATTTTCAAAACGGGGAAAGTTCATGGTGATTTAAATAATTCAATTGGTGACTTTAAGTAAGACACCACGTTTTTTCTAGCGTTAGTTACTTCAAACATTAAAAGTTTAATCCTTCCCTCGATAATAAATAAATTAAAAATAATGTCAATAAAATCATATCTTATTCACAAGAATAGACAATTGAAGTACATATTAACTATGATAAATTAAGCGAGATTTTATTAATTACCAAAAAAGGTAGAACTGAATTTACCACAAATTATTAATTATAACTATAAAAATTAGCGCTAACACAACACTGGTAAGGATATGTTGAGATTTTTTGATGTCCTGGCTCCCTATGCAAATGTAGGCGTTCCTTTGCGTACCTTCTATCATTTAAATATAGGATTTAATAACAATCGACAAAAGAAAATTAGGCCTACTATTTTGCGTACGGTCGAATTCAACTTATGTTTTTCTTATGGGCGCCATATTGAATTTCTACATTATCAAAATCCTATGTAAAACTGCTTTTCAACCATGTGTGACACATTTATGTTTGGTCACGATACATCCGGAAAAACAATAAAAATAAGTTTTCATGATAGTAGGCTTTGATAGCGCTATGTTTTTTTTTCCATCAAGTTGGCAATGCGAGCGTAAACCAGGTGATTCTTAATTATTGTTAACAGTCAGTGCTAGCTGTGTGAAGTTAATAAATTATGAGTTCTAAAAAAAATTACTTTTTAAATAGTCCCTATGTATGATATGTTGGAGTGTTTTATTCTCTACCTTAGAAAGGAAGCAAAACCCGAGGAAATGTATTTAAATAAATATCCGAAAAGAGGTCAACCGAGTAGAGCTATGTTTAGGTGTCTAAAAGACAACCTTGTCATCTACGGGAGTTTGGCTAAGGTAAGGAATAAACCTCCATATTAAAATAAAGAAAATTTGGTCTTGCAAAGCGTGGTTGAGACTGGGCATACATCTTTAAGTCATATTGAGATAAACGTTGGTCGGTTTGTTATTTTACCGGATTTATATTCACCAAACATAAAGCCTGTTACACATGTTTGAAATACAACATAGTAGGCCTAAATTTTCGGTTGATGCCGTTTTTAGCATCGCCTATCCGTTTTCTCATATTCTGAAAATTTTCACATTCCAGTTGCTATAATAAGGAAAATTTGTGGTTTTTAAAAAATTTACGTTTTTCTTGTTCACCCTGTATCTACGTAAAGGTATCGATTTAAAATAAAACAAAGCTGGATTATTTTTTGACATATTTGAGATGTACATCATCTTATACTCGATAGTATACCCCGAAAAATGATTCTTCTTCTTCTTATGAATATTCTTGCCTAAAAATTTTTTACAAAATTGCAATTATCCGACACTCTATTGCCAAACATTGAGAAGGCAATTTTGAATAATTTATTTAATTGACACTAATTTCCATATAATAAAAACCAAATCAAATCAAAACTGTATCATACAAAATAAAATATAATACAGGCAAATAGTACTATACAAGTTATGCAATACGTCTATAATGCCGGATAAACACTAATATATTGGGGTAAGGAAATTGGTCCCCAGGCTATGGAAGCATATTCAAGATTCAAGAACGCCTAAGCAACAAATGAATACACTGCCTTTAGGGCAGCAACACTAGAATATAGAATTGAAGAGCTACAGGCAAAGTTGCATTTTTCAATTTCCAAAAAAAAAGCATTGTCTTATTATTGTTTTGCTCACACAAGTAAATATAGAGAGCTGTTTCTGATTCGTGCCCGTGCCCATATATAATTTTTTTATATCGTCTCCAAATAGTAGGAAGTTACACTAGTTCGTCGTCCAGAAAAATAATATACCTTTTTCATCAATTTTAAATTGGAGGCAAAAAATCATAAATCCTTTTTTAATGACCTGCTTTATCTTATAATTAATGTGATTGAAAATTATTATTTCTATTAAAATTAGGGACCCGACCAGTTGAGTTTAAACTTAGATTCTTTTATGTATGGATTATAAGTTACTTTATATAAGTCAAGTAACAGACGTGAGTGTGTTTCTACTAATAAATCTTATTTGCAAATAAAAAAATTAGGGGCAAGTATCCAAAACTATTGAAGAACAGTACACAGTAACGCGCTTTTAAACAAGATATATTTAATTTTAATATCCCATTTGGGAACTATTAACATTTAAATAAAAACCATCTAACCTTTCCAGACCAGATAGAACAAAATGGTTCAAACAGAAAATCCCTCAAAAATTGCGATTCTAGCAGAACCGTATGTTTAGCCTTGGCTTCTTTGGTATAAAATTTATCACAGTTCAGTTATCTAGTCACTCCTTGGGGGTACTATCCACTCAAAAAATTTTCCCCTGCTATACCGATTTCTTTGCAGTGTCGTCGAATCTCGGCCTGGTTCTAATTTCCTATTGGCATATTTTTTCCATATATCCTTTACGTCATTTGTCTTTTCAAATTTTTTAATTTTTTTACTACTAAACTTTCCACCTCTATCGCCTTCCCATTGTTCGTTGCTGTTTATTTAACTAACTTCTTATTCTTATAACTCGTTCGGTTGTTTTCGTCTCTAAATCTCACGTTCTTTTACCGAATACTGTCGTTCCTATAACTTTCCTTAGTTTCCTAGTTGTATTATATTAATTGCAGTTGGCAATCCGATTCAGTGGAAGACAGATTGTAGTCCGGGAAAAAAGTAGTTTATTCGAGCGCATCACTGATGTTAGAGACAGTGCCTCAAGGTGGTCTTAAATAGTAAATGAAATATCGAAATATTGTGAAAACCTCAACAATTTTAAACCCAAAAATGAATTGCATAGTCATCAAAATTAGCAATGCTTCTTCATTATAAATAAGAGAACAAAATGACATTTTATAAGTGTACGTTTGAAGAAAGGAAACATTAAACTCAAATTTACTGCTTGCATCTATATACCCTAAAACATTAATGAAATCTCATACTGCGAATACTATTATCTCAACCAAAAGAGCGCTAAATCTTTTAAGTAGAAATTAAAATTGAAACCCTTCTTGACGAACTATAATTTATAGCAGAAGCTACTCTCAAAGTTTCTAGCGAACTAAACAGCTGACATCACGAAAAAAGATTTAAAATAAGTGGTTTTTAAGAATTCAGTAAATATTGACTGGAAAATTGCAATATCTCGTCTGTCTCTTAGTAATTTCAGGGCGGAAAAACACAACTCTAGTCACGCATATGAAAGCAAATCGGCCAGGGTTGGTGCGATATGCTTTCTATAAATGTCAGCAAACCAACCCTTTTTTATTTGAAGTTTGAAGAAACAACCCTTCTACGCTAGTAGACAAAAGATTAAGAAAACTGAAAGAACAATGCAAGGAAACAATGCGAGAAACACGCGAATATGTGTGTTTAAAGCGTAATTTACTTGTATAACACGAACTAAATGCTACCCTATCGATAGGGCGGAGGTTGCTTTAAAATGCAAAGTTGACATTACTTTAATCGCATACCGTATACCCGAAATCGTCCACAAAGCTTGAAGTGAAGTGGTTTTCAATGCAAAGTTGTTTATGTTACAAAGTTATGTTTTTATTTATCGGCTAAGAATTAACTTCCGTTAAAATGACAGTTTCAGGAGAGATTATGAAAATATCCAAGCACGGTATGACCGCATGTTGGGTTTGGCGTTTACCGCTAAGCCAGCCCGCTTTCATAAAAAAAAATGTAGGTTTTGTATTCAGTATACGTAGACGTGGTGTTCACCTTGTTTCGTTTATTGATTATGATACAGTTTATAATTCTTTGCACAAAAAATGATCTTCCGAAGGAGCTAAGGGATCAACGATTTACTGTCTCCTCTTACTTTATTTCGACGCTTATAACTCAGGTTAAACGGCTGAATTTCCAAAGCAAATGTGTTTGGATTTAAAATATATAATATAATGGACGAATAAAAGAAACTTCTCACCTTGCTCCACCAAAATATTATAAGTTACCATAGTCGACAAGTTTTTTTTCGAAAAGTGTATTACTATAGCAATATTTACTTTAACGGGTTTTACCGGATTGGACGCTATCGTAGCCAACGGCTTACAGAGACACGAGATCGAAAGACACAATCGATATTACAATGATTCAGTGCCAAAACCAATGGTATTCCCGCTATATTATTGCAACATCGATACGGAAGAACACAGCACAATATGAGCTATTTTAAATGTTATGTATGTCATTATTACCATAGTCATTTCAAGACATCAATGCTAAAAGCGCTACAGACACAACTTGCAAAGATGGACGAAGATGGAAACTAACTTGAGACACTTGAAATCAGAGAATCATTGTCTGAATAGCTTTAGTAGTAGTAGTAGTTTTTATTATCAGGCGTTTTTAGTTTTGTACGGAACTTGGACTTGTCGTTATCGTTTTCGTTATCGTTTTTGCATTAGGCTGAATCTCCAACGAAATTTGAATACGGGTACAATGCATTCAAATTTTTGGACGCGTTGGAAATTGAAGGTAATTATAAGGAGTTTTAAGACCGGCATATTTTAAAAACGTGTTTCTGTGTGTTTT